TACTGGTGGTGCGGCACGGAACCACGCCGTCGTCAGCGAATATGTTTTAAAGGTAATGGTGATTTCTTACGTTTTAGTCCTAAGTACCGATAAAACTGTAAGTGTTGAAATATGTATTTCATATAGCCTTTTTGCTACATGACTGGAATTTTATCTTTGTGATTGTCATCATTTGCCACTGTGCTGCACCTATGTCTAGTATTCAATCTCAAACCCATGGCATCAGCTTTGTGAGATTTTGTCAAATAGAAATGTCGATTACAATATTGAAGAAGGCACTTTCGAGTTTCTTGCGACATTTTAGCTACCTCAATTAATTTAGAAATTGCAGTGTAACACGTATCAGCCACAAAAACCAAATTCACGTTTTGTTTCTGTAAGGCCCGTTCCTTCAATTGTAAGACGCCTTTATGGCCTCCTTGATTTTCATAATAGTATGTCATCAGTTAGGTACTTGTATGTACTGCTTCAGATTTCTAGTCTGCTGTCAATCAGAAGTCAATTGTGATGTTAGGTTATGTTTCTTTTTGACGTTTAAGACATTTTAGACAGATGAATCAAAAGGATATTTTCTTGCAAATAATGTTGATCATTCAATAATAATTTCCTACATTGAACAAATTCGTCAGGCTGTGATATCTTCAAGTCCCATATCTGATATTAATAATCTAAAATCAACAACAATTTAATGCAAATGGATGTGTATTTATATATGTATATTTGCCTAACAGCTTACAACCAAGCTGTTCCTTGATGGAGGTAGGTAAGTTACAAAATTAATCATTGCATATTTATATTTATATACTTATCGCATTTTTTTCAGTTGTGGTTCGTTCTCACAGACTTTATGAGACGTTGGATAAGAAACATTGTATCCCAAGTGCAACTGCATTGTTGATGTCGGAGATGGCTGTTCACAAATCATTGTTAGACTTTGGATTCGTAGTGTCCGGCTAAAAGTATGTATAATGTGTAAATGCTCTGAAATTGAGTTTAAACATGCCCTGCCCTATCTGGTATTTTTTATATTAGTTAGAACCTTAACCTAAAAATTTCAGACTATAATTCTAAAAAATATTATAAAATTGTAGCCCACACCATGGTGTAAAATTTTTAATGTTTCTTAAATCTATGCATCTTGTTGCAGATATAAACCATCGTGATATTGCATACAAAACTCCATATCTATTTTGGAAGGATAAAGGGGCAAGCTTGAAAGCATATTTGAAGGAGCCAACCTTACAGAAATAAGTGAATTTGCTTTTTATGACTGACATGTGTTACACTGCAATTTGTAAATTAAAGGTAGGCATAAGTCTGTATAATCATAAAAGTTAAAAGCTATCGAGTTCAAGAGGAGCTTTGTTATGCCTGGGCAGGGGGTTCTCAAATGTCTAATGGTTAATGTTGCATGTGAGAGCTAAACTGTCACACGAAACTCGATAAAGCGTCTTTTTGAATATTGTAATCAACATTTCTATTTGGCAAAATCTCACAAAGCTGATGCCATAGGTTGAATTATAATCCAGTGATCTAGCAAAAATGCTATATGAAATACATATTTTAACACTTTATATTAGTACTTAGGACTAAAACATAAGAAATCACCATTACTTATAATAGTATTTTTTCAGATCTACTTGCATTGCTCAAAAATACATCCAATCCTGATAAGCCCAGTGTACAAGATATTATTCCAAGACAAAAACTCCAGTGTAAGGAACGTTATTAGATAGAAAAAAAGAAGAGTCAATAGATTTAAATTGGATATTTCAAGAAATTTGGTACCTATACTAAAATTCAGCCCAAGTGAGACCACAACATCGCAAACTCGAAGCGTGATCAGCGCGTGATCGATGTTCCCGCAGAGGGTCTCATTATAGTTCAGGCATTTTACGGTTTGAAGTTGTAGTTTCAAGCGCTTGCTTTTTCAATTAATAGTTTCATTTCGTAGCTTTTATTTTTCTTTTTTTTTTACTTTCTGCCCCTCATATTGATGCTTTTGTTAAATACAATGTCCTGAAGTGGCTCCAATATAAAACTTCATGAATTTGGAAAACATGCAGCTACGAACATTTTTTAAGTTAGACTGTAGCAATACAAAACCCGCCGTTGCGCTGCGTTGATGTCTACAAAAACCAGAGTTGTAATCAGGCCGTGGCGTGGCGTCGAGTGCATCGCTGTTACAAGTTCTGTTATATCTGGTGTTTTTTGACCATGTCTTCTACCGACACAGCTGATGAAGGGAGAACTACATTGAGTCCACCCAAGACGAAGACAAAACCGTTTGAGCATCGAAGTGAAAGAAATTATTTTAAATGTTTACAAATGTGAAACGGAGGAAAAACCTGAGCTCAGCATCAACGCTGTTGTGCAGAGGGTGGCGAATAAAGTTGGAGTTTCTCGTGCATCGGTATTTACAGTACTCAAAGAATATAAATTACGGAATGCATTTGCTGAACCTAAAACGAAGCAGAACCGTAAAAGCCAAATTAAAGAAATAGATGATGCTGACAGACATGCAATCAGAAGGAAGGTTCATGAATTCTTTTTCCAGAATGAAATTCCTACAATTGATAAGATTTTGAAAGTAGTGATGAAGACTCAGATTTGCCGAATTTTAGTAAAACGACGTTCTACAGGCTATTAAAGGAACTTAACTTCAATTGGCAGAAGAGAGGCCGAAAAAGTTCATTGATGGATAGAGATGAAATTATACTATGGAGGAGAGAGTATTTGACAAAAATAAAAACATACAGGAGCCAAAACCGTAGAATTTACTTCCTGGACGAGACGTGGATAAATGCTGGCCATACAAAATCAAAAGTTTGGGTGGACCAAACAGTAACGTCAGCAAGAAGAGCGTTTTTAGGTGGGCTTTCAACTGGGCTTAAAAACCCTACAGATAATGCAGACATTCCATTTTAGAAAATCCAACAATAGTTATTGGATAATTTTTCATAGCCAAAGTGATTTAAATGAGGCATTACACGTTATCAGATATCTAGAAAAAACGAGGGGATGTTCACTCTGGAAATCAATGTATTCTAAGTTGGAATTCTTATGGTATCGATGACAAGATGATTTTTTACAGCAATGCGACCGTTGCAGAGACAGCATACCTCGTCCGTCACGGAATGTAACACGTTACTTAACAACGTCAGACATTGCGTTGATTTGTAAATTTTTCGATAAGTTTGTCACGCTTGATAATTTTTTAGTTTAATTGATGTTGCCTGTTTCTTTTTGTTTTTTAAGCTAACCAGATTCATCAACAGATTAAATGATGCATAGGTTGAAGTGTCCGATATATCTCACCGCATGCATCCCGTTATCATGAGAAACAATATAGCATCGTATATAAAATACAGAAATGTGTCCCTATCTCCGTGGCCTCAGTACTCTTTTGAAAGACATATAATGTATTTAACAACTTTACTCTTTATAGGCAAAGGAAAAAGGCTCATTATTTGCCACATCGGGAATGTAGATGGCTTCGTGAAGGAAGGACTATGGTGTTTTGAATAAAAAAAAAAAAAACACTGACTACCACAATTATTTGTTTTGTAACTTACCTGCCTTCATCAACAGAATAGCTTGGTTGTAAGCTTCTGGACTTTTATACATACAAATATAATATTATAATATAATATATCCATGTGCATTAAATTTCCTAACCCAACAATTTCTTGAAGATGTGGAATTTGTTCAATGTAGCGAAGTATTATTGACTATTGACTGATCGACATATAAATATTTCTTAAACGTCAAAACAACAACATAACCTCTAGCCAGAACTGCCAGCATGCCGGAAATCTATAGCATGACATACAAGTACCTTATCGAAGAAGACATAATATTATCGAAATCAATGAGGCCGTAAAGGCATCCTACAATTGTAGGAACGACTGACGATACGGGTCTAAGATTGGATCCTTCAAATATGCTATCCCTTCTTAGAAAGATCATTCACCTCCTTATCCTTCCAAAATAGAATTTTACTGAATTTTGTATGCAACATCAGGATGGTTTATATCTGCAAAAAAGATGCATCAATTCCAGAAAAATTTTACACCTTGGCGTGGGCTGCAACCTTATAATATTTTTTAGAGTTATAGTCTCATATTTTTAGGTTAAGGTTCCCACTAGTATGAAAAAATATCAGATAGGGTAGGAGATCACGTTTAAACTCAATCTCAGAGCATACTTGTAGCCCGACACGCAATCCTAAGTAAAACAATGATTTGTGAACAGGCATCTGCGACATCTACAATTCAGTTGGACTTGGGATACAATGTTTCTTATCCAACATCTCATAAAGTCTGTGAGAATGAATCATTTCTCAAAAAATGCGATAAGTATATATATATAAGAAATATATATAAGAATATGCAATGATTAATTTTGTAACTTACCTACAACCATCAAGGGAACAGCTTGGCTGTTGGGCTTTTATATATAAATACACATATAATTGCATTAAATTGTTCATTTTTAGATTACTAATACCAGCTTGAGGAATTGTTCAGTGTAGGGAATTATTATTGACTGATCAACATTATTTGCAAGAAAATATCATTCATCTGTCTAAAATTTCTTAAACATCAGAATAAAAACATAACCTAGCATCAGAATTGTCGGCTCGCTAGAAATCTAAAGCAGTCACACAAGTACCTAGCTGAAGTAGTGAAGATATTATGGAAATCAAGGTCATAAATGCGTTCTACAGTTGTAGGAATGACGATACGGTCCTTACTAATAAATTGCGTTTGCTTTATGACAAGGTTGTATTCATTCATGTGATAAAATGTAATGCATCCATGCAGATAACTAAATAATCCGAAACGTTACTGTTTTGTGTCCACATTTTAGATAAACTGTTAAATCACCCTAAATGCCGCTATATTGATATTTTCGGTTTCCGCTTTACGGGCTATTCTGTCCTCAAAATATCGTTGACATTAGTCGGAGAAAATCTGGTTTATCTAATATCATTTTAGGGAGGTTATTGAGAAAAAACCTGAACAGTTCAAGATATCTTGCATGTCAGACATCAAGGCTCTCTTTCCACTTGATTCTAATCCATTTTATGCTGGATACGGTAATAGAATCAACGTAAGTATGTTGCAACTTAGCTGTTATTTTTGCGTTATGGTAGCTCATAATTCTATGCATTACGTTATCATTGAACCATTTCCAAATACAATATTGATAGTTCTCTAGCAAATTTGATCAGATTTTATTTGAATTACTTGGTTAACCACATTTTATTAACATTTCTCAAATTGATGGAATTCTTGCCTTTTCAATGGAACCCACACACTAAACGACAAATACTGCAGTACTGAGAACGTGTTTCACAATTTTTAAATTAATTCTACATCCTACGCAGAGCTCAGAAATACTTTCTATTTGAGATATAGGGTTTCCAAGATTGGAGCTTTGGGGCCGTATGTCACGATACAAAATGTTGTTCATAATTTGGTACCAAATTTCGTGAAAATTCGTTTATTCGTTTATTTGGATTTTTTTGTTTTTATAGGCCTTGCTTTTTACAGTATATAAACAATCACATTTCTCATACTTTTTACTAGTATGTCCACTGCTCTTTTGATCATGTCATCTTTTAAGTTTGTTTTCAATCTATAAGCAGAACATCTTAACGAGAGGAGAAACAGAGAAAGTGATGAACACAACTGATATCATCTAATGAAAATATTTGAGGTTAGGCGTGTATTTGTCAACCAATTATCATATCATCTAATCATCACAAAACCTCAAGGAGTTAACACAAAACATTTAATTTCTTGTCACGTAGCGCTTCTATCAACCATTGTACTGCTCCAAATGCACAGTAGTCTGCACACTTTTAGTATATTATTCAGAACAGGTTCTACAATATTAAGCACTAAATTTGTTAATACAAAATTATGTACTAAATGCTGTCTGACACTATCCTTAATTTTGGACGAAATTTAGCGTACTAAATTTAACACAAAATTTCGTATCGTGGCAGACGGCATTTAGCCTCTGTAGGTACGCCTGCCTACACCATTTAAAGATACGAAGCGGTTGAATGGTGACAAAGTTGAGCATTTAGGTAACTAAGAAAATTGCACTTCCACAACTTCCTGGGGTATATCCGGAGAAAAACAAAATAAATTATATATATATATATATATATATATATATATATATATATATATATATATATATATATATATATATATATATATATATATATATATATATATATAAAATTTATATGGGGTAGGATTTCATAATAAATCGTTCATTAATGTTGCCAGTTTTTCTCCTCTACAAGGTGGCATAATTAGGATTTCAATATGACGTTTCGTTTCTTGTCCTCAATCGTTACTTTTTTCTGTTGATAATTATGTCTTGACATTGGCGAACCTTAGTCCTGTCAAAAAACTGAATTTTATAGGTTGGCCTTGAAATCGCCAGGTATTTATTTCATATCAGCCAAGCAGTCCTTCAGTTTTTATTAACAGCCGTGGATGAACAGTCACTATTGCCGATTTTAATATTACAATAATTATAAAAAATATCGTGACATGGATTGATATTATACAACTTCAAAGGTCTAAAAAATAGTTTTCCTGTTTTAAATCATTGATTGAAAAACGTTTTCATGTTATTTAAGGTTAGTATTGAGAACTTTAAAAACTGTATTATTTATATGCTTGATAGAAATATGTTAGAGTAAATAAAAGCCTGGAAGGTGTTGCATCTTCTTCAATACATTTCATATCTGCCATATCTAAACCGATGCACACATCTTGCATTCAAGTAACATTATTCTACTGCTGAGGTGGCATGCAGAGCTTTTCCATTGTTAAAATAACGCCTGTTATAGTCGATAAATGGACAAATTATCTGCACGTCATTCAAAGTCATTCGCTCCTCAAAAACCGAAGCATTTGTGATTTAGTCGATTAAACCTGCTATAAACTGCCATTTTCAAGACCAACTGAATAAAATATTAGCTTTTTGAAATAATTCAGTGACATTTTCTTAGTTATCTGAATGCTCAATTTGGCCCACATTTAACCGACGCGACGTCGTATATTTAAGTGTCAGAGATCGCAATGATGAGAGTCGAATTTGAAACACTCTCCCTGGGTACAAATTAAAGACGTTAGTTGATGCAGGCAGGCGTACCCACAGGGGCTAAGCCACCACCCTGACACCCTGTATTTCAAATAGGAAGCATTTCTGGGCTTTGCGCCCATTGGAACATTTGATCAACACAACATGAAGTATCACTATGCACATTTTCATTAAATTTGACCAGTGGTCAAATCCTATATGCTTTATGCTTGGTACTTTTGTGGATTTAACATTATGATTTTTGTCTGTAAAATATAGGATGTCTGGGCTTATAGAGCGGTAGGAATACCTATAGTTAGGATATTCACCATCAATCCTAAAGGTGAACTCAAACATGAGTTAACTCAAACTTTCCAGTCAAGGTAAGATATTATTTTTTATTATAAATCAATAATAAATTCATAACTCAATTTAATCCCCGATTTTTCGTATACACGCACATATACAAAATGAAATAGCCAAACTCCCACTCATTCATTCAGAGTTCCTACATTATTATGAGCTTTGTACTAGTATCACACAATGTTGAAGCAGCATGCATTCTTCGTTTCATTGCTTTGCTTTTCAAATATAAATAAAGGAGTATAGGCAATATACATGTTTGCTGGTACCATAGCTGATAGTAATAAATCATATATTGTTTGAACAGTATTTTGATATAGCATAACAAATACTGTGGCGATTTTTCCAATTTGTAGTACGATTCCTATCGACGATTTTTAGGACTTTCAAGTAGCTGCCAGTGAACTATTGCACATACGGCGTTTATTTCTACATCATTTCGTAATATCATTTGTATGCTTGCTACCTGATCAGACTTGAGTTATTTTTAGCATTTAGTGGAACCCGAACCCGTATTTCTTTGATTTATTCAAGTACGAATTGGATACTGTGTTTCATCAAGCAAGACAACATACTTCTTCACTTTTAGCGCCCTTTTCTTATTTTCTGAAAAATTTCCAAATAGCCAGTAATAAAGAAACAAATTTCGGAATATTTGATAGAAACAACTTTTGGGAACATATTGGACACATGTTTTGAAAACGGAACACTTCTCGACATATCTTCTTATGAAATTTTCAGAATCTAAACAAAAAGAATGAGTTCGGAAATTTTTTACGTTGGAAACGGGTGGTGGTAAAAAGCAACTAAAGTCAAACATGGACACAAAAAATCCGTTTTATAAATCTTTAGTTTATTCTCAGCTAATATGCTGACAAAATGCTCTGTTTATATTCTGCTCTAATGAGTCCCGGATGGCATACTAAAAACACCTAAACGAATAATAAATTGGCCCTGTATACAATAAATCTGTTTCCATTTGAAAATACTTAACCAGCGGTATATCACTCATTGCTATTGCTGTGTGTATCAGAATGATCATTATACGAGTATTTCCTAGAAAAACCCCTTTAACGTAACGTAAGTTTTGCTTTATGATCATGAAGAATAGTGACGGACTGGCTTCCTTTCTGTAACCAATCGTATATGGACGACGTATGTTACAGCTCGCAGCAATAATATCGAGAGGTAACCGGTGCCGATAGATGTAAAGCTAGGGCTCCTCTCTATAAACACATACGTCCAACCTGTGTACACTACCTTGTACGACCCATCTCCCCCCCTGTGGGCACCCATGGCATCACCTACTTCTAGCAGCTACCTACGTGCATTGCCTAGCTAAAGCTCTAGTAATCCATTTAAGCGAAACTGTCGCTGCGGTCGATCCTTTCTCTTAGTTGTGTTCCTCACTATTATGCATCCAAATTCTATTTACGCCCCGTCAAAATAAACACTAGTGTGTGACGTTCAAATTCGCTCGCTCCCGTTGGCCAGCGGGCCATAATTGCCTAGGCGAAAAGAAGCGGCGACCGAGTGCTCATGATTGTTCTGACTGAATGCGATTGGCAGTCATAATAGAACGTTTCTAGCTCAATTGAAATGAAAAATGATGCAATAATTGAATGAGTATACAGGGTTATCCAAATTAAGTGTCCACCATTAGTAACTTTGTTATTAGTGAAAATACAAAGTTGTTTGAATTAGCAAACTAGTAGCATTTTTAACGCTGGTAAAAATGAGAAATAAAAAAAAAAACAATTGAGAGTCGTTATTTTGATTTTTTTCAGTAAAATAACATTTTTTTAAATGGAAACCCCTGTATATTATATTTTTTTCTGTTAAAGCATCAAATTTTAAACAAAAAAGCTTACAATAACTTTTCTCCTAGGTTACAAATTGTTGAAGTTATGGCCTCCAATCTGAAACAATTAAATTGTATCGACAAACTTTATTTTCAACATCAACTTATAATCTTACAAAATACAATAACAATTTTTTTTAAAGAAGATGCTCGAAAACACCACCTTGTTCTTCAATACATTTTTGGGCACGTTTTTCAAACTGCTCGAACTGTCTTAAGTATGGTCCTACCATCTATCTGGGTTATCTTTTTCCTAACTGCAGTCTTTAACGCGTCAAGGTTATCGTACCTTCGCTTGTAAATTTGGTTCTTTAAGTAACCCCACAAGAAGTAATCAAGTGGGTTTAGATCTGGTGATCTGGGAGGCCACTGTATTGGGCCATTTGCTCCTATCCACTGATCATTAAAAGTAGTACTTAGAAAATGATAAGTACCTCTGGAGTTGTGGGCAGGTGCGCCATCTTGCTGAAAATGCAGACTACTTATAAGATCCAATTCGTCTAAGAAATTAGTCAGAATTTCTGACATAAATTCCACATATCTTTCACCAGTTAGGGTTCCCTCATAGAAGAACGGGCCAACAATTTTTGAACCAATTATACCGCACCAAACGTTGAAACTGAAACGGACTTGTGGGCCTCTTGGATGTACTAACAAAAGATTTTCTCTTGACCAATAATGGTGGTTTTTTCTATTAAACATTCCAGAATTTGAAAAATTTGATTCATCTGTCCATAAAAGGTAACGAAAGTTATTTACATTTTGGCGACAGAAGCTAAGATACCAATGGCAAAAAACAAGTCTTCTCTCTGGATCCCCTGCCAAAAGCGTTTGAACTGGTCGGTACTTATACGGAATAAATTTGTATTTTTTTAAAATCCTTTGAACAGTACCATAACTGAAAGTCCTTGAGAATATCTGCTATTGAATTCTCACGATAAGCTTCAAAATATCCAATAACTGCAATTTCCGTGGCCTCGCTTATTATGAATTCTTTTTTTGCCCTTGTTTTAGCAAAAACATTTTCGTTGCCCCTAAATTTTCGATAAAGTCTCAGAAAATATCGTTCATACGGTTGAATGCGAGCGGGATATAATTCACTGTAGTATTCTCTTGCTCTCAAGGAGGATTTTCTGCACACTAAATAGCATTCTAACATATCACACTTTTCTTCATGGGAGAACATTTTTCTTTAAATTAATGACACAATAAAGCTTATAAACAAGTATTTACACTAATGTTTGACATTATTTGATTTTATCATTGTTTTCCAAAGCCTTCTAGTTGCGAGTATGTCCAGTTTAACAATTTGTCGCTTATCTTAATGCTGTCAAATCGCGAACGCCATGTTGTTTTCATAGCCGTCTTAATATTATAATACTGCAAATAATTAAAAATATTTATCGTTATTTTGACTTTATTTTTGACTTTAGCGGAAAAGTCATTATGAACTTTTTTGTTTAAAATTTGATGCTTTAACAGAAAAAAATATAATATACAGGGGTTTCCATTTAAAAAAATGTTATTTTACTGAAAAAAATCAAAATAACGACTCTCAATTGTTTTTTTTATTTCTCATTTTTACCAGCGTTAAAAATGCTACTAGTTTGCTTATTCAAACAACTTTGTATTTTCACTAATAACAAAGTTACTAATGGTGGACACTTAATTTGGATAACCCTGTATGTCGTGTAGAGATGTTTTTCATGTGTTCAGTAATGTTTTTAATGAGTATAATCCCAATTACAGCCGAATAACCATATTTTATGCACAATGTCTGACATCACTGTTTCCCGCGTGCAGTCATTTCCCCTGCATTCCTTCGCTAGATAGAATATTCTGTTACAAAAAGACAAACCAACGGAAATGAGTGACGTGGTTTATCGTGATTCACATGTCATATAACATTAAAAAAGGTATCTCATTTTCGATTTTTTTTTTGTGCTTACAGTACTTCCTCGCTAGTGTTTGATTATTACTCTAGAAACACACACACCATCAATTGCATCCATTAAATAGATATTATTACGGAATTGTTATTTGGCAAAATCAGCGAGGTCTGTGAATGTCAAACATCTTCAAAATGACTGAAGGGAAATGATGTACTTCTATATCAGCGAATCTCTGTAATCTATCTCTCTATTATCTCCTTCCTGTGGGTATTTTACGGCTCACGATGGATTTGTCAAACAGTACCTACCATAAGTCAATTTTATGTAACTACTACACTGCTACTATCAAAATTTACCAAAATAGCTTGCGCGGTTAATTACGCGGTGATAGACCTCAAAAACCTATTATTTCAGTTCTGCAATCACAACATAGTTATAATATGGTAAGCAGTAAAGATATTTGATTTTTTCAACTCGTCAAATCCGTACGGTTATCGTTATTTCTGACAAATAAAAATAAGGTTACTGATTTAGGGTTTCGCTTTTTACAGCTATACCAGCCAATCTTTGGTAGTAGACGAGGTGTTCCCCCCTTTATGGCATAAAATTAAAGAAAATGAAGAAACATATAAGCATGCATATGATGGAGATTCAGATTCTGAATCTTCGTCAATATAAAATTAGGTCTTTTAAATTTTAAATTTAAACGAGTATTGTTATAACAAAAACTGTGATGGCATAGTATTGAAAAGTTTTTAGTTTGTATAGTCGAGTATCATGGATTTCAAGTAAAGAAATTATTTTTATATTTAAAGGCAATGATATTGAAAAATGAGGAAATCATTTATAACCAAATGGTTTCTTGATTCATTTCAAGGGGTATCCAACAGACGTGATTATGAATAAGAAAGCGTTGTTCAGCCATCTAACGGACACACGCGGTTAATATCGTGATGTATAAATTTCCATTAGTATGAAAATATCGAGTTCATTTGGATAGGAGTATCAGAATACATTTTTTAATTAACTAAAATTGATATTCGCCCAATATACTGGTTATTAATTTAATACACCAGAGCAGCAGTAAATGGATATAATCGAATGAACCTGTTGAATGCACTTGCGTATGTCCACTGTACATATGGTGAAACACCTTGCACATTAGTTAAATTTTCTATAAAATTACTACTAACGTATGTCTTGATAGATTTGGTACACAATTCATTGGCTTTAATTTAATTGAGACGGGTACACTTTGCCAATGGAAAAATCATTATTTTAGATTGCGAAAAGTATTTCACTTTGAGTAACTCTGAAATGAAGGGAAACGACGGATTTTATATGGACAACGTAGAGGAATGCTTTGACAATGTTAGATAAAACATAAAGTGAAATTTGCAGATAAAATCCTTGTCTGGTGCGCAATTTCTAACAGGGGTGTATCTCACCTTATGTGCGAAGAGTGAATAGTCAGAGCTATGTTGATTACTGCCTTTCCAAATTGATTCAGTTTGTCTACGAGCATCACGCTAATGACCATATCATGTTTAGGCCAGACCAAGCGTCATGCTATTACTCGAGATTCCCAAAACTGGCTTCGACAACACGATTATATATTCTGTTTCCAAAAACGGCTGCAGGCCTGCCCGATAGACGATTTTTGGGCTTTACTGTTTAGGAAGCTTTATCATGGAGGCAAAGCCTAAGATGAATAACGATTAATGGTTTGTTCGTACAGTAGTCGGTAACTTGTCAGTGACTGTCGAAATCAGAATCAGAGAGATTTTACATGTTCGTACAGTTTCTGACTGTTTGCCGACAGTCAATCCCCTGTTCGTACAGAACCTTCTGACAGATCAGAGGACACCAGTCAACCAGTGACAGTGACAGGTATCAGAGTGTGTCGGAACTATCTTGAGGGCTAAAATTGCTTCGCAAGAGGCATTTAATGAACTTTTCTCTAATGGACGGTCGAAGGACACCTTCGTACCAACGGTCCTTTGTCCCGACGGTGTCGAGATCGTGGAACAATCTACATGAGGAGATTTTCCCAGTTCTACTAACTTTAGGCAGTTCAAAAATGTGAATAACAAAGTTTCCTCAAGTTCCTGAAAGCAGCCGCGGTGCCTTGGCATGTAGGGTTCATCTGCGCGGCTGCTTCGGTGTAAAAAAAACTGAAACTCGAAAACCTTAATTTTCTAGAGAAAACAGTGCCACAATTCAACAGAAACAAGTTTTTGTAACATTTTCAGGTGAGCAAGTGGCAGAAGAAATTTTAAGGTAATTCCATTTTAAATATGAACCAGCGCCAAAGTGCTGTGTGCTCAATATTTTGTTTATTGACCCGGTAGGGGCAAAATGAAAATTATGAATATATTATGAAAACTCCCAAGAATAAAGGACATAACTTTCAAGAACCATAATTAATACGATTTTTGTAATCACTAATCTTTTGAAAATCTTTGTTACAGTTGCAAAATGCGTAATTACGCTATTTAAGTCTTACTTCTATGTATTTTCGTAGTCTCAGTTCTTTTTGTCCATGTTGAGAACCCTCTGAAACTTATAGCTATGTCAGCAGATCTTGGTAATTGTACAACAGTAGTTATGTTCAGCCGTTTTAGCTTTTTAGTGTATAAGACGTTATTAAATACTTGTACTTTCACTTCTTTCTTCTAGTAAGAGTGTGCATATACAGAGTGTTTCTAATTTGGCACTCACCATTGGGATCTTGGAAACTTTAAGAGATACGAAGTCGCTTAAACGATAGTCAACAAAGTGATACTTAGAAGGTTTCGAAATTCAAAGTACTTCCGTAGAGTAACGGAAAAACTGAATTTTCCCAAAATTGTTCTGATTTTTTCCTGACTTTATTTATATTGGGATTTTAAAATAAATTGCACATTAACAGTGCCACGTTTTCTCCTATACAAGAAGGCATAATCAGAATTTCTATATGACGATGACGGTTCGTCTCTTGTCCTTGAGCATCAACTTTATTATTTCTTAAGGACGCTATACTGTTTTTTGCACAGATGAACAGAGTTTTCAATTTTGATTAAAAAAATGCATAATATGTACGTCATAAATTGACGTCGTCAAACCTTGATTACTTTAAGAAAAACAGAATTTCTTAGGTAGACCTTGAAATTATCAGATGTTTGTTTAGCTCATCAGATTTATTCCAAAACCGCTCTATTTTTCCCAACTCTATGGGAGATGGGATTTCAAAATAAATTACATATTGTCATTGTTACTTATTCTCGTCTGCAAGATGGCGTAGTCAAATTTTCAATTCGACATTTCTTCTTTCGACTTCCATCATCAAATTCGTTTTCTCATACGGACACTATATTGGAATTTCTTACATTTAAATGGATTTTTTAAGCCATAAATTCAGTGATTGTTAGTTGACCATAAATTTGTTGTTGGATGAAAATTAAAATTAAATAAAAAGATTTAGTGAAACCTGAATACGAAATGAAAATTTTATTGATGGTAATAACAATAATAACCATAAATAAGCAGAGGTATTCACAGCCTTTCAAACTCTGTTGCTATGCAAACAAATAATTTCAAGGCCTACCTAGGAACTTCTGGAATAACTAAGGTTTTGCAATATCAATGTATGACATACATTTTTTAAATCAAAATTAAAGTTCTATTCATGTGTGTAAGAATCCAATATGGCGTCTGTAAGAAAAAAATAAGTTGATGCTGGAGGACAAGATACGAAACGTCACATTGAATTTTTAATTGTGTCATCTTGTAGAGGAGAACATGTGGCAGAGTTTATGTGCAATTTATTTTGAAATCACACCACAAATAAAGTCAGGAGAAAATTAAAACCATTTTGGGAACTTTCGTTTTTACATCTCTTTTCGGAAGTATTTTCAATTTCAAAACTTTCTCAGCGACATTTTGATGATTATCTGAATAGGCAACTAAGTGACTTCGTATCCCTTGAAGTTTCCGAGATCCCAATGGTGAGGGTCGAATTTAAAATACCCTGTATATGGAAAATATTATTTTTACCCCAGCACAAACAGTCACTCTCCGTGGGCACCCGTGAGAAAAAGCTGTATCAAAAAATCTCCAGAATCCGTTATTTTGTTAATTTTTTCATCAGCTTTGGGTTGGACTTACATAGCTAGAATATATATATATATATATATATATATATATAAATACTGTTTGTGCATACACTTCGAGGCTGGGCGACAAGGGAACAGGGAACAAAAACCCTACTATCCGAGTTTTTTTAAAAGTCATTTACAATAATTTGTACATTGCTCATGCATAATCACTGCAGACGTTTATTCAGAATTCTTACTATGTATTTACTTCTTCAACGATGTGTGGATTCATAATTCTTCGAATTTATGTTTATACTTTATATATGAGAATTGAATGGTAATTACTGAGTAAACCTACTTGACCTTTTTGGGTGCTGTTATTTTTTCTAGAAAGTGTCCATGTTTTCCTCTCTAAATGAAAATTCAGGCACATTTGGACAGTTGGACGAAAAATCCTAGATTATTCTGGTTTACAGCAAATGAACCCCCAACTTTTTCAAAATTGTCTACTTCGTTCTGAAAAATTTTACATTCGAATAATTATATTACTTGATTTCGAGCTCAGACAATTTACTGGAAAATTATTTGCTGACTGATTTGACAGTCATCAAACAGTCAAAAGTGCGGACGAACAGCGGATTAGTTGTCGGTTATCGGTCTGATCTCCCTCAGCCAACTCGTAACGTTCTCATGTACGCAATTAATACAGTCAGCGACGTGTCAGTGACAGCTAACGGCGTAAACTAGGTCATGACTTGTGACTGACTATCACTTTGCTGATTGTCAGCAAACAGACTGTACGAACAAACCATAAGACGGTGAATTTACGAAAAACTGAGACATTCGAAGAAAGTTGCATCTGGTAGAGCAGAATAGCCACTCCTCATAATTCGATAGTATAGTTTAGTAAAGTATTGAGATGTACATTATGATAACTAGTTAGTGCTTGAATAAATTTCTTCATTAAAAAAAGCCGATAAATATTTTGTGCCAAATCTTCAAGGACACACGTTAGTATAAGTCATTGGTATACATACTTACTTCAAAAAAAGTGAAAATGCTTATGATGATGGCTAAAAATCATTTGGTTAAACTTATTTCCACGAATAGACAGTTCTACGTCTACTTTCAAAATATAAAATGACTAGGGCTGAAATAAAGAACAATTAAGTTTTACTTCTATATATATGTATAAGTTTTGATTTTATTTTATATAATTTTATTGATCGTTATACAATTTTATTTTATAAACAGATTGTTTGTAACCTAAGGATAAGTGAAATGTTGCGAGGATTATATAATATTAGTATTTTCATTTAATTCTCGTATGGTTTGATTTCTACCCTCACCCATTCACACAGTAAAAGGCACACAAACCAATGGACAAATTTCACGCATCAGTATGCTATGTATATTTCTTTTGGGTAAGATTTGTTTGGAGTTTTTTGCTTGGGGTAATTGATGCATGTAGAATCATAATACGCAGGATTATCAAAAAAAATCGGTAAAAAACATATCGGAAAATACTCTATTACGAGTATATACTTGTGATTCTATGGTATAAGAATTGATTTTGGTGGATAAAAAGCGATGCCGTTTGAATGAGTGTTTTGTGGAAATACTAATTTTACTAATTTTATGAGTGCATATTCACATGGTGTTATGTTACTGCAAGGCTCATATGGGTTTATATAACGTCACTAACATTGTTTTACCAATTTTAAGTGCAATTAGCGAAATACTCTTGGAATCCAGTTGATTTTCTTCTCATACAATTAGTACGAACATAGCAAGGACATAAATATATTTCTCCTAAAATACACGTATATGTATATAGTATTTCGAACATATGCTTTAATTGGAAAATATTTGGCAAACGTTGTGCAATACGCAAAAAATAAGATGTACGACAGTAATTGCATATTCGAAAAACATACCAAAAATGCTCTTATGTTTGGTTTATATTTGGATATTTTTCTAGGAAAAAAAAGCATTAAATTGACACTCCTTGGAAAAACTGAATATGGTAAAATGGAAAAATTAGTGGCGAACTCTGTTACAAAACCAGGAGAAGGGCACTGGGT